TTTGTCTGTCTGTCGACAGAGGATCGGGTTTCATAGGCTTTATGCCTTTGAGAGTGAATTCTCTTGATTTTAGGCTTTGAAGGCCTAATATGAATGTATTAAAACCAATATTCTGGTCGCCACGGCCACATATTTGTTTGTTGGTTCGAACATTGTCGACTCCTATTGATCTGTATAGGAGGATCGGGTTAGAACTTGAATTCACTTATTGACCCGCGCAGCATCCCTAGACGTCATGTGTGTACCAATAACACGCTCGTCGGGGCCCATGCGGGTGTTTGGGGGAATTTTGTAATTATTTATTGAACCTTGTCGACTCCTACTTGTTTAGAAGGATCGGGTTCATATTTAATAACCCGCGCAGCATCCCTAGACGTCACGTGTGTACTAATAACACGTTCGCCATGGCCCATGCGGGTTTCATGATTACTTTTACCCCTTTTAGTGTACCTATGTGTATACAAACTATAGTGCACGTGCGGGGGTACTTTGAAAGTACTTGTACACGCCTTCTGTCGGCTTGCAAGAATGTTGCGGATCCGGTGGCGTGGCGTAGCAGCTTCTGAATTTAGTGGTTCGCTGCTTCATACAAGTAGACTGTCGTCCACTATTTATTGCTTTCTGCAGGTGGATTGTAGTGCACAAACGAATCTCCTGCTTTAGGTCATAGGAGATTGCACTTGTCGTATTCTTCATGCATTTATGTTGTGGTATTTGATCCCATGTAGTATATTCGTCACTGCTATAGGTAGGCAGGTAGATGTACTCTATAGATTGAAATTGACTTCAGGATACTGCACTTACTGAAGTCTTTCTGCATCTACCCATCAGTGGCAAGTGTCACATACATCTGTATTCGCAGAGAGCTTGTATGTATTGCAGATCTTTATCGATGTATTTTCTTCCATTGAATCATTATTGATGACATGAGTACTAGCACATTTTATTTGTATTTATTTGCCTTGCAGTTCTATTGCTTATGCGTGTCATGATGAGCATCACAAATCCTTCAATATCTTTGGGAATAGACTATGACTTACACAATGAATTTTCATCCTCAATATTCATTTGCAATCTATCGCATATGCCTTTCAATTTTTGTCATTTGTAGGTCTCACTTGCTTGTTTGAACAATGATATCGACCCTCATTGCACCTGTCATATACCCTTGTATCTAACATAATTATCCTAGATCAATCAATTGATTGAGTCTTCATTATCAACCATATTCTGATGTTGGTTGCAAGGAGTTATTACAAACCTCATTGATCTTCTCATGTGTATTGAACAGTGGGCCATTGCATTCGTCACATATCAAATTTCAATACTTGCAAGATATCCGTTGCATCGATTGTATGCCACTTTGTTTGTGAAAGAAGTGTTGCACATCTTATGAATTTTCTTGCACCATTATGCTTGTATTCATTACAACTCTTCCATCATCATTTGCAAATGTATTTCAATTCTTATATATGGCCACTAGTAACTTATTACAGTCATTGAGAGCATCATGATATTCTTTACAATTTCATATTTGTAAATGAGTTATGCTTATGGTCCCTTGGTTCACAAGTCTCACATTTGTTTGTTGATATGCATTTGATTGATCAAATTTATCACTTAATTTTAGCATTTTTGCTTTGATTGCATATCATTTTGAAGTTAAGTTCCTTGTAGTCCAAGTCATGTTTGAAGTCTTTTGTTCAAATTCAAGTTTTGGCTTGAGTCCAAATGTTCAAGTCCTTGCTCCTTGTGTTCAATTCAGATCTTTGCTTAAGTTAAAATTATGCTCACTTGATATTCAATTCCGGTTCAAGTTTGAATTTATTTTATTTAGTTCAAGTCTTGCTTAATCATTTGATTAGTGTCCAAATACAAGTCATTGCAGTTCATGCTCAAGTCTGCTGGTTCATGTTCATTTCAGTTCAAATTCTTGTTCTTTTGAGTCCAAACAAGTTCGAGAGCAATCATATATTCACCCGAAATTTCGGCAGCCTCCCGACGTCTCCCCCGTTTAGGGGAAAACTACGGAAAACTGGATCTCCCGCCATGCTAGAGAAAAGCGTGTACGGTAGGTTCCCTCTTACGAGGACACCGCGGCCGTGTAAAGTCTTTGTCCCCACCACGCCAGAGAAAGACGTGTATGAGTCTTCGGTACCTGTTGCAAAAGAGAAGCAATTGTTTCCCCGCAAGAGGGTACTTATGAATATCCCGGTCTCGTCGTACACGCCGCGCCGAGTTTTCATCCCACCACACTAGAGAAAAGCGTATATAGGCGGTTTTCCGGTGCGCCACGAACGCCGAAAACAAGATTTTTGGAGCCGAGGGGTTGCTCGCCTACGTCGATGTGTTTGCTAACCATAGTAGTTTATCGAAGGAGTGTTGTAACATTCACCATCTTCTGTTATGATAACTTGTAGGTGTGTAGGTATCTTGTTCGTATAGCAGGCATATAGTTTTTGCATATGAATAACAAGTATAAATTCCTACATTCTTCAGGGGCCTTTGCATTCATTCCGTTTTGCGTAATCACTTACTATCCTTTGCAAAGATTGTGTTCTTGATCATAAGCACATTGTAATTGCTAGCTAGTGGCTATATCTGGACTAGTATATCCCATATGAATAAATCACTTCATTTATTAGAGACTCCATTTTATAGCAAGTGGTATCCAAGGCTCTTTGTAGCGGGCTTCCTTATTCATTCAGGAATCTCCTGGTCATTGCTCCTGAAGTGAGGTATATGAATCCTTGCTTGTTCATTTTGCTTGCAACTAGATGATGTCCCATCTCAAAGGATCTATTGCACTCATCATAGCTTTTCCACATGTTCTTATGAAGTGTTTTGCTCATTTAATACACATGGGTGATTTTCATTTTGTAAAGATTCGCCACATTTGGCATGCACTATATTCATCATTTGCAAGCATATCATTATGCAAATGGTGAATCATCTACAATTCTCTTGTAGCAAAGTATGTTTGCTCCATATTCTTTGACATGGGTCATGAGCTAGTGGATATTTAAACATATGAATTCTCTATCTTCAGAATTACTTGTCACAATGAGCTTGGGGTTATTGCTTTTCAATTAAATTAAGACTATAACTTCTCATTTTTTATTTGAACCCAATATCATGCTCTAGCTCATGCCAGATATGAGTTCAAGTTCTAGTTCCTTATGCAAATTCAATTTAAGTCTGAGCCCGAATCATGTTCTTCTTGAATTAAAGTTCCATGTGATCTTGTAGAGTCCAAGTTCAGATGTTCAAGTGTAAGTCATATGTCCCCTGTTGTCCTTGCAAGTTAATTACAAATCCAAGTTGTTCAAGTCATGATTGCTTGAGTTCAAGTTCCCTTGAATGTTCAAATTGCAGTCCCTTGCTTAATTATTATTATTTAATTATGATTAAATATTTAAAATATAATTAATTTAACTAATTATGTTTAATTACTAATAATTATTAATTAATTAATAATATAAAATAATCATTCATAATTAAAATAAATTAATTATAAATGATTTTGGTTATTATTAATTAATGATAATTAAAGTAATTAAATATAATTAACTAATTATATTTTAAATTAATTAATAACAATTAAATAATATTATGATAATTAATTATAATTAGAATAAATTAATTATAATTAATATTCTTATTAATTTAAAATTATTATAATTAAATAATAATAATAATAGCTGATTATGTTAACACAACTAATCCCCTATACCTCACATGGCGGCTTGAGGAGATCAGGCCAGACAGGAGGAGTAGCGACTGGAGCTGGAAGGCTGCTCTCGAGTTAGGTAAGAGGAGTCTCTCTCTCTCTCTCTCTCTCTCTCTCTCTGGACTGAACGGCTCGGGCAAGAGCTGGAGTCGGGCTTCAGTTGAAGATGGGAAGATATCAGCTTCGTGTGGGATCGGAATTGGTAGGGGCGGCTTGGATTTAGCGTAGACGGAGGCGACGGGATGGGGGAGATAGGAGGCTTGAGCTCGGTCGGAAGTGGGAGGAAGGGCTTCGGCAGTGGAGTTGTCGGGTAGGAAGGAGTTTTTGGCAGAGACTGGAGGTGTCGTGGGGCGAGAGAGAGCCGGAGATGGAGTTCGATCGGAGAAGCTCGTGAGAGGAAGGAGGAGATCGGGAGAGGCTTGCGATGGGGAAGAACCAAGGGAAGAGCAGAGAGCCAACGCCTTGGCTTCGTTTCGTATTTAACGACATTTGCAGTCATTCAATCGAGGCAGGTTCACGGGAATAGCAGAGGACTTGACTAGAGCGGCGCCGAATTCAACGGGATTTCAGCAAGATTTTGGCAGAAATCGTGGATTCATCGGACATGATGTATATATGCTGGATTTGGCTTCTTTCATTCTTTGTGTAATTTCTACAGAGGTTAACAAACAATTATTGAAAACTGTGCTTACATAGCTTAGGTTTCCTTCTATTTAGACTCACAAAAGTATTCAAATAAAATCAGACCATTACAATCCATTGAAATCACATCGCTAAAAATACTACTAATATAGATAAGCGAATGAAGAGAAATCTCAAAACACAAAATGTGTAGGTATTGCATGGATAGGCATTGGATCATCCAAAAAGAATCACCATTGAATGAAACCCATGCAAATAGGGTTGTGATGGAAACACTTAAGAAGCAAAAATAGGCTCCAAATGAACCGATTCAGAGACACTAGAACGTCATAACCTAAAACAGAGAACCTAATCAAACCAACACAGACAATAGATAACACAATCAATTCTACGTAGGAAACATGGTCACATGCATGTTTACACAAAGTAAAATTGAATCAGAAAACTATGAAATTAAAAGAAAATTTGCAAAAAATAGTACTCAAATCATCAATTGTTCATCTCAACATGCACAATTGGTGTTTCTGATGAACATAAATAAGATTTCACTGAATAGTCATACAAAATTTACCATTCATAATAAACTCACAACTTAAGAAGACATGGACATGCAAAGATGTGATTGTACCTCTCCAGAGGTTTGGAATGACCACAATATACTGCCAGTGGTGCAATCAAGAAAATAAACCTTCCCTTTGTAGCACCCCACAACAACCTGACAGATACAATATGCTTAACCATTAGAATCAAGAACCACAAAATAATGTCCTACTAATGGCCAAATTTTATGATAGTTTGGTAAATTTGGGTTCAGGGCCCACACCTGAGAGAAATCTCCGGTAATTGCAGCTGAGCATTCAATACGTCCTTCCAGAATGGCTTGCCACCGCACAAATCCACTATTCATCAATAGAATGTCATTTTCAATCTAGTTCAGCTGAATTGCAGATAGCATTGAAACTATGAAAAAATTTATCTAAAAACAATCGGGTTAACTTCAAGATTGAGCTATTGACAAAATCTTTTTAAACCTCCTTTTAAACTAGCCAGAAGTAAAAAAACAACAGGAAATGGAGTTGAAATTAACAAAATTAAAAATAAAAATTTGTATTTGCAAGGTTTAAATGTCGTCGCACAAAAACAAATACTTATCCACTTAGGTTCCATCTGCTCCACAGAAGCACCAAATGGGAAAAAGCATTTAAAGAGGAAATATTCAAAACAAGTCAAAACTCTCATGCGATATATGTGGTATCATAACTATATAAAAAAACAAATTGATATTGTAATCCAAAATATAAGATTAGCAAAAAATCGTTACCCATTTACAGCAAAAAAATTCAGACAGCATTAGCAACTTAACTTAGGGGTTGTTTGGTTGCCTGAAAAAATAATGCAGTGTAAAAAGAAAAACATTAGAGTTATTTGTATGTGTGAAAAATAAATGTATAAGATTACTCGTTTTTTATTTGGTTTGAAGTAAAATAAATGCAATATAAAGTGCAAAAACGGCAGTGATCGATGGCCAACATTGGCGGTGGTGTGGCCGGCGGCGGGCCAGCGGGGGATGGCCGATTGTGGGGGCTAACGAGGGATGGCCGACTGTGGGGACCAGCGGGCATGGCCAACTATGGTGGCCGGTGGTGATTGGCAGATGGTGACAATGGTGGCCGAAGACAGTTGTGGTGACTGGTGGTGGCCTGTGGCGACAGAGGTGATCGGCGGCAGCAGGCAGTGGTGGTGATGGCGGCCGTCGTTAGGAGGTGAGGTGGTCGAGGGCCGGCGCATAGCGGCAGCGAGCGGCGGCAATTGCAATAAATTTCGATGTACGTGGAACAAGCCCAAATAAGAGGAATTCCAAATACACTAAAAATGAACTAGACAATGAATTCCAAATGCACCAAAATTTTACACTGCATTTGTTTTACTTCAAACTAAACACCAATATCTTCAAAACTACTGTGATTGGAAAATTTTATACTCGCTTTGCATGCAACCAAACAGCCCCTTAATGAATCCTTCTTCTTTATTCAATCATAATGAGTGCTACATAGAGTTAACTTTGCATGTATGCATGTCCCTTTGCACAATTTATAATCTGATATTTGGTCGACTCCTTCCATCTAACTGGTGAAAGTTGGAACAAAAATCCATTTATCAAATGCAGAAGCTTGCTCCAAGTTCACATAATAATTTTTATAGTTGAATCATCATGCCCACCATAAGATAACACCACCAAGTCTATCTTACAATGTGGACTAAGCAAAGCATTTAAAAAATCAACTTATTCCCTTCCTATTTCATTTCAAAAGGTTACAAGGGCATTTATAGATTATTTTTAAAACATGAATCATGAAAGAAGTCCTAAGGCCATTTAGTAATGCCTACAGTTACATGGAAATTTGAAAAGTAAAATGCATAAAATGATGTAGCAATTCATTTCATATTTATGAATAATTATAATTGTATCATTGGAATGCATCCACCCAAATAAATGTGAATGTAATCGTGTTTGGATGTCCCATCTAGGTTTTTTGAGCTTGGATGCCCTCTAACTTCATTATGGCTAAATAAAATAAATGAACCTCTGAACATTCTTGGAATTTAAAAAAAAAAAAGACTTGCTTTTTACATCTTTAAATTCAATAGCTTGGAACATATAATTGACCATCCACATGATAAAACCAAAATTGAACTTGAATTAATTGTGGGATATTGCACCAATTTGCATGAAATGACTTGTAACCGACCCTTTGCATGAACATACATTATTACACCACTCAATTCTTCTACATATAAAATATTATATCTATATATAAAAAAAACATATATTGTTATGCAACAGTAACCTTTTCGCAATAATGAACTTTCAGAAAATCAATCAAGCATGCATCACATCTTGACAACATAAAATATGACCCACTATCAGTCATCTAATAATGTCAGACAAAGAAGACCTCAATTTTTGACACTCAATCCCAAAAGAATTAGGATTGTACCTTAGAATTGCTAGATCACTTGGCGCCCTAGCTACCTTTTCACTCAACATCATGTGCTAGGATCGAGCTCACACAAACTCAATGTATGCACACACGCCTCACCCTGTTGGTTCCACCTCTCTCAGACTTGGCGCCCTTGATGCTATACCATGCACTCTATTAGATGAAGTCTTCGTGTTATTAGCATATCTGATGACTTCTTGCAAGTAACTTACAGCGGAAAACAAACACTTGCTAGGAAGGGGGTGGGGGTGCTTTAATTGCGCACTCTAGATCACTTGGCAACTCTTGCGGGATCTCCCTCTCAAATCAAATCCTTTCACACCTGACCCTTATTGGATGTTCCTATGATCACAGTGGTTTCTCCTCTAATTCGGCCACCATCTCCAACCCTCCAACCCTTGTTGTTGGCTCCTACTATCTCAAAGGCTCCTCTTGCTACTTAAATTTCATTGGATGATACGCCACTTGTTGCCCTATAATACCCAAAATGTTCAAAATAAATGTAAGCATAAAATTCCTCTAAATGTTCATTTATTTTCAATAAATTATACTTTTAATTCCGAGCATTTTGACATATATATAAAATATTAACTTAATGGTATATGTATAATTAGTTAATAATTGTACATATTTCAAAATTAATTAATTAAACTAAGTTAATTAACTATTAAATTAATAGTATATAGTAACAGTCATTTCATTTCATTATTTTATTCCTATTAGTGTAGCTTATTTACTTAACATGCATTGGCTTGATTAAATCCCACGGCTGAGAAGGATTTGGGGAATATAATAGTAGACATGCAGCAATGCAGTAAATTATATAATAGTATATTATATAAGTGAAAAGCATTAGTGAGTATGGCCATTCCCTTCTCTTTTTTTCCCGTCATTTGGCTGCTGGCATTCGAATGAACAGTCTGCCGTGAGCTGGGAGACGAATGTGTTGCTGAAGGCCAAAGGTGGAGAGAACTAAATGTTGCTGTAACTGATTTCATAACTTAGGGAATGATCTAGAGGAAGGAGGTTAGAATTTAAGATTTCTTTTTGGAGTTAGGGGCTGTTTGGTTGCCTGAGAAAGAAATGCAGTGTAAAGTAAATGTAATGTAAAGTAAATGTAGTGCATTCCAAATACTTTGAGCCTGTTTGGTTGTCTGCAAAATAAACACAGGAGAATTATTTCCCTTGTTTGGTTAGGCATATCCAGAGTTAAGTAAAAGCATTTTTTTAATAATTTATTTTGGCATTAATACTAGTGTATTTATAAAAGCAGTGTGATGCGGACATCAGCACGAAGATCTGGCGCATCTATCACAGGAGGCGTCGTAAATCGACGACTCTAATTTAAGTTGTCATTTATGAATTATTTTCTGCATTTTAGTTTCTATTTTATGTTATTTTCTATTTTACCCCTAGGTTAATTTATTTGAGTGCTGTGGCCCAAAGGGCATTTTTGTAATTTTCTATTTTCCCATGTTATGGCCTATAAATAAGGGCCTTAAGCTATTGTAATGTGGGGGTTAATGAATATGAAAATTTTGTGTTTTTCCACACTTGTGTTCTTCTTGAGAGAGGACGAGAGTGAGATTCCTATGGGAAGGAATCGGAGTTGTCACCAGCCGCAGGATGGGTCCGGGCTCGTGATTTGAAGTCCCTTGGAGAAAGGCAATCGTATCACCCACCAACCTTGGAGACGGCAGGGTTCGTGGTTTCCTCTTTGCATCTTTCGTTTCATCTTTTATCGTGTTTTGTTTTTTTTTTTTTTCATCTTTTCTTCCTCCCTCAACTTCACGGCCAAACACCCCTTTGGATGCCGTCGGCCCAATCTCTAACCGCCGGCCACCACCCACCACCTCATCCCAATTGAAATCCTTGCCTAATTTGGGTGTTCATGTTTTGGGCTGATTTCAAATTCAAAATCATGTATTTTGAAATTCGAAATCTTTCCTAATTTATGAAAACTATTTTTGGAAAGTTTCCATTTTCAATCCGATTTGAATTTCAAATTCAAAAGGGGTTTAATTGGTTATTTCCTTAATTCCCTAACATTAAGAAAATTCCATTACGTCCTTCTTAATTTAAATTCATTTGAATTCTAAATTCATTTGAATTTTAAATTCAAATTAAAAAGCCTTAAATGCTATCTTTACATCCTCCCATCTCCCCTTAATGCAGCCGGCCTCCTCCCTTTATTAAATTAATTTTGAAATCCATCCATAAGTGCAGATTTTCTCTTTTAATTTGGCTGATTTCAATTTTCAAAATCCTGAGATTAAGAAATTTTCTTAATTCCCCATTCCCGTAACAGTTTTTCTTCAGATCCAAATCCTGACATCTCCTCTTAATTGCTTCCATCAGTTTGCTTGGTTTCCAAAATCTGAGAATAAGATTTAGGAAATATTTCCCTAATTCCCTCCCATCCTACCGCCTCCCATTACTGAAAATTCTCAAAATCTGTCCACGGGACAGTTCTCATTTTTGGGAAATTTTGAAGAGCAAATCTGCTGCTGTTGGCTGAAACCTTCAAGGCCCCACTACCATTAATGCTTTCCCAAATCCGGTTTCCCTCACCCCCTCATTCCAGCCGACCCCCTCTCTCCCATGATATTTTTAATTTGAATTAATTCTCAAATCTTTCATCAAAGATTTAGGAAATAATTCAAACCCAGCCAATTGTTTTCCTAAATCTAAGAAATTTAATTTGGGATTTTAATTTCCCCTCTCAGCTAACCGCCACTTCCTCTCTCTCCCTTTTAATTACTTCAGTTAATTTATTGCCTTAGTTATTCCCTCCAATCCCCACCCTCTTTTTTTTTTTTAAAATCTGAAGTTCCCTCCGCTTCCCGTGAAGCTCTTGCTGGCTGCCCACAGTGCAGCAAATTGCTGCCAGAAAATTC